ATTCTAACTCTGCCCACTGCCAGCAGTTCAATCCTGACCGGCTCAAGGTTGACTCAGCCTTCCATCCTTCCAAGGTTGGTAAAATGAGGACCCAGATTGTTGGGGGCGTTAGGCTGACTCTGTAAACCGCTTAAAGAGCTGTAAGGTGGTATATAAGTCTACATGCTATTGCTATTGGTCCTCTCATGTATAACCATTGCAGCATTTCCGTGGTCATGTGATCAAAATTTGGATGTTTGACAACCGGCATGTATTTATGAGGGCTGCAGCCTCCTGGAGTCATGTGATCACCATTCGTCACGTTCCCAGGTGTTCTGCCCCAGCTACGGACCCCAAAGAACGCAGCACACACAAAGTCTGTACAAAACTTAATTTACTAAAATAACTCAGTCTGTTTCCAAACGAAGGCTGTTAATAAACTTTCTTAACAGCCTACAAGAAAACAAAGATAAAAGTAATCACAATCTTACTAAGGTTGGCAGAAAGTCCGGAAGCAATTTGCAGAGAATCCAGACGCGAAGGAGAATGAACTAAAGTTGTTCCCTGCAAATTGCTTCAGTCGGCGTTCCTCCTTAAATAGGCTATGGGAGTGGCCAATTAGCCCCAAGCCTTACTCTCGAGGAGACCTCCTCCTGAGGAGCCACTCCTGCCTTTTGGCTGCTTTGCGCGCCCGTGCATCGAGAAGAGGCTCCTCCTCTTCTTCCTCTTCACTTAAGGGAGCTTCTGGAGGATCTGAAGGCCCTGGCTCCAGCCTCCTCTTTGTCCGACTCGAGTGCCAGCTGCACAGGCTGCTGGCGCAGCACCACACCAGCCTCCTCGCTGTCAGAATCAGCTACAATTCGCACAGGCCGCTGACGGGCCACAACACCAGTCAGCTTCCAACAAGCAAAGTCAATGGGGGAAGTTGGATTCATTGAATGACCATCTGATTTACTTAACAACTGCAATGATTCGCTTGACAACCATGGATTGTTATGAGGGGTCCTTGGTGCCCTTTGAGCTTGCTTGTTTTCTTGCAGGCGTTTCATTACCCAACTAGGTAACATCATCAGTGCTAGAAGGGAGTGGGGTTTGCGGAGAGGAGGAGGAGGAGGAGGAGGAGGAGGAGGAGGAGGAGGAAGACTGAGGGGTCCTTGGTGCCCTCTGAGCTTGCTTGTTTTCTTGCAGACATTTCATGACCCAACTAGGTAACATCATCAGTGCTAGTCGATTGTTAATTGATTGTTATTTTTAAATTTTAAAAAATGGGACTTGTGCATGTTTCAAGGTTCATCCAACTACTTAGGTATCTTTTGTTGTCCAGTTTTCCTACCTTTATAGAAGCACTAGGCACTCTTAGAAGTGCATTAAAAGGTTGTGATAGAAAAATACCCATCTCCCCACCCCCCCTCCGGATCCTTTTATTTTAAAATAAGGTATTTTTCTGGTCTACGGCATTCTCCGTGTAACTCTTTTTCAAGTTTGTGTTTTAGGCAAAGTTGGGTTGGTTTGCTGGGAGTGACAGTTTTGTTTGCCCGAGTTTCTTAAAAGGGCTTCCAATGTTTATCAACAGAGGGTTCATATAATGTAAATGTGCTCATAGAATGGATTGTTGATTGTAAAACTGTCTCTGTGAGTCATTAAATGTTGAATAAACCGAGACATAATTGGGGAGGACGAATTTTGTAGATGATTGGTAAACGTTTTAAGTGCACAGATTCTACCGGGGCTCTTTAATCTTCGGGAATACTGTTGAGTGAAAAATCTGTCTTTCTGCGTTAATGGTTTTTCTGTTCAGATTATTTCAGATTATTTCATTTTTAGAAGACCGGTGGTTAAACTGTGAATTTAAGCTCTGTGAAGAGCTTTTTCAGCAATATTTTTTGGTGGATCAAATGGCCTGAATTCCATTAAGAAAGAAGTCAATTCTTAACTCTTAAATATCGTTTTATCATTACTATTATTTATTTTTAGATTTTCTTTGAGTGTAACAGAAATACAGGTAGTCCATCGACTTACCGCCAATATTGAACCCAGAATTTCTGTTGCTAAGTGAGAAATTTATTAAGTGAGTTTTGCCCCATTTTACGACTTTTCTTGTCATTTTTGTTAAGTGAATCACTCAGGTGTTAAATTAGTAACACGGTTGTTAAGTGAATTTGACTTCCACATTGTCTTTGCTGGTCAGAAAGTCGCAAAAGGGGATTACATAACCCCGGGACACTGCAACCGTCATAAATACGAACCACTTGTCAAGTATTCAAATATAAATCACATGACCATGGGGATGCTTCAACGGTCATAAGTATGAAAAATGGTCATAACTCACTTTTTTCAATGCCGTTATAACTTTGAAGGGTCACTAAACAAGCTGTTGTAAATCTAGGACTACCTGTACTTAAACAGAGTTGAACATAGTCCAATTGTTCTTATCTATTTTATTCATAGAACTTCCCTAATTATCACTAACAGATTTTGGGGTGCATCTCAGTCTTTGACAGGTTTTCAGTAACATTTATAAAAAAAAATGGTTCACAAATAAGATTTTCTATGAAGAACAAAATAACTGGACTGGAATAGGTTTTTTTTTTTTCATAAATAAAGATTAGAATGTCCTCGACTATTCTACTGCATGCAAATCAAAGTGATAAGACCCATTCAGTAAGAGTTGCCCTACATGTAACTGGAGATAAATTTCCAACAAACTTCTCAATATAGAATATAAAATCAGAATAGAGCTGGAAGGGAACTTGGAGGTCTTCTAGTCCAGCCCCCTGCTCAAGCAGGAGATCCTATACCCGTGATGGTGAACCTATGGTATGCGTGCCACAGGTGGCATGTGGAGCCATATTGGTGGGCACACGAGCATTGCCCTAGTTCAGCTCTGGCGCACGTAGCTGATTTTTGGACCTTCCGGGCCCACCGGAAGTCGGGAAACAGGAAGTTTCTGGCCTCCGGAGGGTGGGGGGGAAGGCCATTTTCGCCCTCCCCAGGCTCCTAGAAAGGCTCTGGAGCCTGGGGAGAGCAAAAAACAGGCCTACCGGGCCATCGCGTGCCAATAACGGGGAAGGGCAGGGAGGGTGGTCGCACACCCATGCGTGGGGGGGCGGGGCGCATTGAATTATGGGTGTGGGCACTGCGCACACGATCCCACCCCATGCGACCTCCACTTTTGGCACCTGATGGCAAAAAGGTTTGCCATCACTGTCCTAGGCTCAACCCTTTCGTTCTTTGATTGTCACTTTGTGAAAATATCTCTGGACGTGAAAAAAAAATGTCAAATAAAATATATACAGGAAAAAAATACAAAATAAATTATTTTGCCCAATAGAAAGATCTGCCAGCAGGTATATATGTGGATGTATGTTTGTGTGTAACAGAAAGATTATAACATCAACTTTTCATCATTATGAAACACCCCCCTCAGCAGAAATGGCTTCAGAAACAATCTAAGAACAAGGAGAGTGTGAAATTGAGAAAAAAAGCCTGCTGGGCTCAGCAGAAATGTGGCCATAATGCTCTCGATTACCAATTGGACCTTCACTAATTTTTTTTTTTTTTTTAAATTTTTGATTTATATGCCGCCCTTCTCCGGAGCCTCAGGGCGGCTTACAAGGCGTTAAGCAATAGCCTTCATCCTTTTGTATATTTATACAAAGTCAGGTTATTGCCCCCACAAACTGGGTCCTCATTTCACCTACCTTAGAAAAGATGGAAGGCTGAGTCAACCTTGAGCCTTGGAGGAGAGAGAGATTAATTAGGAGGAGAGAGAGATTAATTAGCGAATGAGAGAGACAAAGAGACAGACAAGGGCCTTGGAGCCTCATCTCAGTTTAGAGAAGACAGTGGTCCTCAGGGTAATCTGATTCAGGACTGTTTTTTTTTTTTAAATGACCCCATAATCCCTTGCGGCGTGGAGTCTGGGCAACTGAATGGAGCTGAGTGTTTACTGGCCGGATGCCCTTCCTGTCACCAATGCAGAGTTTTGTTCAGCAGATACATTCTCAGTGTGCCCAGAGAGAGAAATATCTGCCTCTACCTAGGATTGAACCCACAGCCTCCTGATTTTGAGGCAAGAGAGCTCCATCTCTAGGCCACCGCACCACTCTGATTCAAGACTGTTACAAGATTTTAAGGTGATATATCGCTCATGGGATGTCATAGCTCCCTTTTGAGCATTGTTAGAACACAAGGGCGTCCCATTTTGGCAACTTTAAGACCTGTGGACTTCAGCTCCCAGGATTCTTCAGCCAGCATGGCACAAGCCTTCAAGTTGCCAAGGTGGGACACCCCTGACTTGAACCAAAGTAGCTGTAGTTAGGAACACGGTCTGTGCATATGTCAGTGTAAGTCTTTACAATGTAAGCCTTTTTATAGCTTTGTTAAGCAAAAAACATCAATGGCCCTTCAAAACTATGCACTATGAACTATGTTTAGTTCAATCTATCTAGAAGAAATTTCCTGAGGCCAGGACAAGAAGCAACGGATGGAAACTAAGCAAGGAGAGAAGCAACCTAAGGAGGAATTTTATGACAGTGAGAACAATTAACCAGTGGAACAACTTGCCTCCAGAAGTTGTGAATGCTCCAACACTGGAAGTTTTTAAGATGATGTTGGATAACCATTTGTCTGAAGTGCTGTAGGGTTTCCTGCCTAAGCAGGGGGTTGGACTAGAAGACCTCCAAGGTCCCTTCCAACTCCGTAATTCTATTCTATTCATGTATATTAACCCACACAGTGTGGCTGCAGTATTGTTATTTCTTTACTTTACTTCACCCTGTTTATTGCTGTTATTACTACTATTATCCTCTGTGTTGCTTTGCAAGCATGCCAAGTAGTTCCATACTGGAGGCAAATTCCTTATGTGTCTAACCACATTTGTCCAAATAAAGTCTTCAATTCGATTCGACTCAATAATAGCGCCTTTTATACGCCATTTGATCTCTTTCTGGTTAAATCATTCAGGGCAGCAAAGACATAATTAACGCTTTTGCTTGTCTCTTGTGTTCTGCTCCATCCAGATCGCGAGAAGAGTGATAACTTTGCTGAGAAGAGGCCTCTCCTTGCTGTGTGCAAAAGCATCGGATCTTCTGGGTAAGATGATTACATCCAGAGGGGTTTGCTCGGTGACCTTGTTGGGTTGTTATAATAAAGACAGCAAGGAGCCCAGTTGAGCCTTAAAGACTTAATTGGCTCATTGTGGCAAATCCTGTGTGGGCCAGAGCTTGTTCCTATCTGATGTAGAGTGTGAACCTCTGTCTGAGATGAATTAGGGGCAGAGATGACTCCCCTTTTGGTCTCCAAAATACGTCTGCTTTCCTTCACAATATATATATATACCGTATTTTTCGGAGTATAAGACGCACTAGAGTATAAGACGCACCTTAGTTTTTGGGGAGGAAAATAAGAAAAAAGCTGATTGGCAGGTGGATCGGCCTCCCGGAATACCCCCGATCAGCTGTTCCCAGAGGTGAATTTTAGCAACAGGTTCCTTGGTTGTGAGCTCTGTGCCTTGCTTTTTTTTTTTTTTTTTTTTCTGCCTCTGAAACTTCTGAAACTCTGTTTCAGAAAAAAAACTTTTTTTCCTGCCTCCGAAAGCCTCCGAAACAGAGCTTCAGAAAAAAAAGCCTCTGAAACCCTGTTTGAGGGCTTCTTTTATGAAGCTTTGCTTCTGATGATTTTTTCAGCCTCTGAAACCTCCCTTTGAGAAGCAAGGGGGGGCTACATTCCAAGTATAAGACGCACTCAGATTTTCACCCTCTTTTTGGGGGGAAAAAGGTGCGTCTTATACTCTGAAAAATACGGTATTTCTGAACAAATGTCACCATCCTCATCCTTGTAATTAATTACAGTCTTTGCCACCTCTTTCCTCCTATAACTTTTCCAGTTTTGTAATTATAGTTGTGGGTAAAGATAAAAAATATAGGTAGTCCTTGACTTATAACCACAATCCAGCCCAAAATTTCAGTTGCAAAGTGAGACAGTTGGTTAAGTGACTATTGCCCCATTTTTACGATCTTTCTCACCAGGGCTGTTAACTGAATCACTGCGTTTGTTAAATTAGTAACACGGTTGTTAAGTGAATCCCACTTCCCCATTGACTTTGCTTGTCAGACGGTCACAAAAGGTGATCACATGATCTTGGAACACTGCAACCGTCATAAATGTGAACCAGTTGCCAATCGTCTGAATTTTGATCATGTGACCACGGGGATGCAGCAACGGTTGTAAGTGTGAACAATGGTCGCAATGGTCGTTTTTTCCAGCAACGTTGTAACTTTGAATGGTCACCAACCTACTGTTGTAGGTTGAGGACTACCATGTTTTCCCGAAAATAAGCCCTAGCATGATTTTTCAGGATGCTCGTAATATAAGCCCTACCCCCAAAATAAGCCCCAGTTAAGATGGTCAGCCAGATTGACAGATTTATTGTATTTCCCTGAAAATAAGACCTAACTGGAAATAAGCCCTAATGTGTCTCTCGGAGCAAAAATTAATATAAGACCCGGTCTTATTTTTGGAGAAATACGGTACCCGTAAATGTTTACATTTCTGCAAGAAAGTAAACTTGGGTTTTATCTCAGGCTCCCTGAGCTTCTTCCTTTGTAATGATTTTTTTAAAAAAAACCCCACTAAAATACTGTTTTTTGACTGAATAACCAATGTTTAGGAACAAATATGATGGGTACCATAGAAAAAAGAACCTGCAGCCCATGAGCTCGTGAAATCTGCTCTCACGATAATCCAAAATTCGGTGCCAAGAAAACCCCAGTTTTGTATCTTTTGTAGAGGCAGAGTAAACAAACATAACATGATTCAGTCTTTATTCGCACATCTGCTTTTCGCGGAATGGAAGCAAAGAGTCACGCAGAACGCTTAAGCTCTCCTTTTTTGATCAGCGAAGAGGTTACTCAGCTCATTAGCGATGCTACTTGGGGATTTCTGAAAGTTGCATTGCAACATTATCCTTTAGGATATGTTTACAGCTTACGGGGTTGTTTACATTGGTGATTATATGCTTGTCAGGATGTTTATAATTCTACATGCAGCGTTTTTGGTCAGAAAGGCGTCATGTCCTCCTTGGACTCACAAGTGATGCTTTGGAGTCTGCCTGTTGTTCGTTCCTATTTTCAGCCGGTCCATTGCTAAGGTAGCCTAAGAAGAGAGTGGAATTTTTCCCACGAGTGTGTCTATGGAATTAGGAGAAAAGACACATTCTGCGCCAAGAAAAGTTTCGCGATTGGTCTTAATTTGCCACGCTTTGTTTTCAGAATGCTACTTTTTTTTTTTCCCCAGGAAAAAGGCTTGAACTAAGTAGTTTCTCTTGTTGTCAGGTTGAGATCCAAAAATTCACCCAAAGAAAAAGGGAGGGAAGAGAAATAAGCCAGTCATGCTGTAATGTATGGTTAAAGTGTTGGATTGGGACTGGAGGGAACCAGATTTAAATTCAATCTCAGCCCTGAAAACTCATCAGAGATATTTGGGACCAATTGCAAGTAGTCCTTGACTTACGACTACAATTGATCTCCAAATTTCTGTTGCTCAGCGAGACAGTTACTTAGTGTGTTTTCCCTCATTTTACGACCTTTCTTGCCAACAGTTGTGAAGTGAATCACTGCAGTTGTTAATATAGTAACATGGTTGTTAAGTGAAGCTGGCTTCCCCGTTGACTTTGCTTGTCAGAAGGTCGGGAAAGGAGATCACATGACCCCGGGACACTGCCACCGTCATAAGTATGAATCAATTGCCAAGTGGATGAATTTTGATCACGTGACCGTGGGGATGCTAGAACAGTTGTAAGTGTGAAAAATGGTCTGACGTCACTTTTTAAAGTGCTGTTGTAACTTCGAACAGTCACTAAACGAATGGATGTAAGTTGAGGATTGCCTGTATAAGGGGTTGGCAACCTTAAACACTCAAAGAGCCACAAAAGTCTTAACCGGAAACCCCGCGTTCAATTCTGGAGCCGACCGGAAGTCCGGTTCCCCCACCATAGAGTCTCCTCCTAGCATGGCGGTCCTTTTTCCTCTGCCAACCGGAAGTCTGGTTCCCCCACCATAGAGTCTCCTCCTAGCATGGCGTCCTTTTTCCTCTGCCACCGGAAGTCCGGTTCCCCCACCATAGAGTCTCCTCCTAGCATGGCGTCCTTTTTCCTCTGCCAACCGGAAGTCTGGTTCCCCCACCATAGAGTCTCCACTGCATCTGTTTTCCTCTACCTGTCCTAACCGAAAGCCCTATCAATTGTGGAGCCGACTGGTGACAGGGAGCCGCAGCAGGGGAATGAAAGAGCCACATGCGGCTCCAGAGCCGCGGGTTGCCGATCCCTGGCCTGTACTAATCTTTCCCAGTTCCAGTAGCAGCTTTGGAAGATTTCTAGTCACTTCGTGACTTTTAAAAATCTCAATCAGCAGTGTCCAGTTTAAGGATGGTGCCGTCTCCTCGGTCAAGCGGGGCCTATGCAAGATGTTGCTAACCCAAGTAGCATGCCGGTCCTCAGCCACACCGGTGGCCCGGAACGGACTCGAGATTTTAATTCGCTGCCAGAGAGAGCAGTTCCGCTTCAGATCACTTCAAGAGAACGGCAGGACCTCAATGCTCCCCTGCTTGGTGCGCGGAAGGTCTGAAGCACAGCCCTTGGCAGCCCTCCAGTTCAACCATCCAAGGATGGGAATGATTATAAACGACGGAGAACCCAAAGGGATGCAGGCAATACGGATTGACTGTACAGGGCTAAAATTTGCTGTCCTTGAAGGCAGCTGCCCCTCTTCACAAAGTGCTTTGTGTATGAAGTTATGGATGCTGAAGGAATGGATCAGGGGTGAAATGTAAAATTTGTTACTACCGGTTCTGTGGGCGTGGCTTGGTGTGTGTGGGGGGGTAATGTGACTGGCATGGCCAACTTTTTTTTTTTTTAAACTTTTCAAAGCATTTTTTCAAATGCTTTGAAAAGCCTCTGCCGCTCAGGAAGCTCAGCTGGGATCGTCAGAGACTTTTCAAAGCATTTTTTTTACCACCTCTTCGGCCAAGAGGATGCAGAAAAAAATGCTTTGAAGAGCCTCTGATGATCCCAGCTGAGCTGCGCGATCATCAGAGGCTTTTTTTTCTTTTACTTTGAAAAGTATTTTTTCGTCGGAAGAGGTTGTAGAAAAAATGCTTTTCAAAGTAAAAAAAAAAGCCTCTGATGATTGTGCGGCTCAGCTGGGCATGGGGGAGGGGGGCAAGGATTTTTGCTACTGGTTCTCCGAACCACCCGCTGACATCGCTACTGGATTGGGCGATCCGGGCCGAACCGGGAGCATTTCACCCCTGGAATGGATCCACGCAAGGTTCTGTTCCCCTCGGAATGGAATCGCAATTCCATCGTGATTCTGCCACTAACTCTGCCACTAACACTTTTTTACTAGGGGGCATGCTTGTTTTTTCATTTGCCACTCTGATCCATGCCTATAATACAGGTAGTCCTCGACCTACGGCCACCGTTGAGCCTGGAAATGAAGTTGCTGAGCAAGGCCGTTGTTAAGTGAGTTTTTGCCCCGTTTTACGACCTTTCTTGCCACAGTTGTTAAGTGATTCACTGCAGTTGTGAAGTTAGTAGCACGTTTGTTAAGTGAATCTGCTTTCCCCATTGATTTTGCTCGTCAGAAGGTCGCGAAAGGCGTCCCCGGGAAACTGCAACGGTCATAAATACGGGTCACTTGCCAAGCGTCCAAATTTTGACCACATGACGGTGGGGATGCCGCAACAGTCGCAAGTGTGAAAAATGGTCATAAGTCACTTTTTTTCAGTGCCTTGGTAACGCCAAATGGTCATCAAACGAACATCGGTTGTTAAGTGAATCTGGCTTCCCCGTTGACTTTGCTCGTCAGAAGGTCGTAAAAGGCGATCACGTGACCCAAAAACACTGCAATCGTCATAAATTTGAATCGCTCGCCAAGCACTGATGATGGGAACACGGGGATGTTGCAATCGTCCTGAAGTGTGAAAAATGGTCATAAGTCAATTTTTTCAGTGCCGCTGGGACTTTGGATGGTCACTAAATGAACAGCTGTAAGCCTAGAATTACTTGCACGAAGAGTAGGATTCTGGGATCACAA